GGTCCACATTTGAAATAAATTGCATTTTCAATTCTCATTATCAAACAAAGTATCATGCATTACTTTATGGGAATATAGTTTCTCATGTTGTATGAGTCAAAATTGTCTCATGCATACACAAAAAAGTGAACGAGATCCACTTGTTTTCTTTCTCTCTGTTCCTTAGGAGTCTCACCAACTTTTTTGTTTGTTACATGAGATAATTTTATATGATACAACATGAAACAATATTCCCTTACTTTATAGGCGAATGATATCCTCCTTTAGATCAAATAAAATTGAAGCATTATTATTTTTTATTTGGCTAAAATATAAGTTACCCCCTTGAACTTTGACCATGTTTCGAGTTATCCCCCTTTTAATTGTTTCAATTAACCCCCTCTGTACTTTATACTTGTTTCAAATCAACAATTCTCTTAAAAATTTTACAAACTCTGCTAAACCTCCTCACACGCCTTAAGTCCTAAATCTCAAAAAAATAATATTAATGTGTCTCTTTTTTTCTATGTTCTTCCAAGGTCTCTCTTAAAAAATATTAACATCTTCTACGAAGGGGAAATAATCATCACTGAAAACTTTGTGAATAAATTAAGAGCTAAAGAAAAGATAGAAGAAACTATCATCCCAAATCGTAGAAGAAAAGATCATCGATGGAAACTTTGTGAATAAATAATAACAAGATCATCCCATCCCAAACTTTGTGAAGATTCTTCTATGTTAATCTTTTCTGATCCAAATTGAAATCATCCCGAACTACTGAGAAAAGATTCAAAGAAAATTGTAATAAGAGATAGGAGAACGTAGAAGAAAAGAGAGAATTTTTTTTAAGATTTGGGGCTTAGGGCATGTGAGGAGGTTTAACTTTGTAAAAATTTTAACAGAATTGTTGATTTGAAACAATTTTAAAATTTTAAATTAGAAATTTTTCCCTCCGGACACACACTTTTTCCTTGAAACAATTATAAAGTACAAGGGGTTAATTGAAACTATAAAGAACCTTGGGATACACCACTCCAAAAGCTAGCTCAAAGGATGGAAGTGCCAAAGCCTTATAAACTCCACATTAGTTGCTCATACAACCAATGTGGGACTATATATCTCAACACGTCCCCTCACATGAGAGCCCATTGGGCTTGAAGAGTGGATGATGCAACAGGCCCAGCCTACCTGTGCTAAGAAATTCCACAAGAGAAAGTGGGGGCGGCGAGGTTTGAACGCGGTACTCCGAGACTCTGATACCATGTAAAGAACATTGGGATACACCACCCCAAAAATTAGCTCAAAGGATGGGATACAACCAATGTAGGACTATATATCTCAACAGAAACAATTAAAAGTACAAAGAGATAATTTAAAACATAGTCAAAGTTCAAAGGGATAACTTATATTTTAGCCTTTTTATTTTTTTCAGAGTTTGATGCTCGTGATGAATGGTCAAGTATTTTATTCGCTGTTATATTTCATAAAATTTTATATTTATTTATCTATTTCAAGTATTTTTGTATTTCGCCACCACAAGTAGATTGCAAATATTCTCCAGGTTATAACATTCACTTCTTTCAAACGCTACACATGAACTAGTAAGGATACACGAACAGCTTTTCAAGAATGGAAAGAGTATAAAAAAGAAATCAATCTTTTGTATTTGGAAAAGTGTGTGTTTTTTAAAAGATACAAACTTAAATTCTTTTAAGACAGAGATAGACACATAGAGGCGAGACTCATACCTTTATTTTTCTTTTATCATTATTTTTTTAATAGGACCCACATTTTTTTATGTCTCTCTTGAAAAATTTAAATTTATATCCTTTTAAATGATACACATTTTTTTCTTTGTATTTTATGCAAAGCACATGAACCTCGTATTTATAAAAGTGGCATATTAGCAATGTGCTATTATTCCGAAAACAAATGGCCCATAACGTTAAAATACTGGCTAGTAAAAGTTTTTGGAATAGACTCCAACGCAACAACGTTTATTGCCAAAAGAAGATGAGGACAAAAGATAAGGTAAGAAGAAGATAAGAACATGTCCAACGTTTATTTGCACAACCTATATCAATAATTGTTCCTTGTTCTATTCAGTGGATGTAAAGGACCCATTTACAGGGATATTCGAAATCGAACTAATATAATCAAAATGATAAAATTTCAGTCGACAAACTGAAAGCTGAAAAAATTAAAAAACTGAGCAAAACTAATTGAATTGAATTAACTTTCGGCTTCAATTTTGAAACTAATCAAATTTAAACTTTAATATTTTACCTAAGAAATTAATGTTACTTATACTTATTGAAATGGCATAACAAATCAGCGGATCAGCCCATCAAACTTAAAATTTACATAAAAAGTATATGATTACAGGCCATTAAATTTATTGGGTGTAGGAATACTGCAAATATGTTTTTATGTGTTTAGCGTGTGGAGGAGCTCAACTGGATTATATTACAAATTAACAAATTAGATGCTGTAAGGTGACATTGTATAATAAATAGATCGATGGCGATTCCCACAAGGGTCAGGTGACAGGCTAGAGAAAGCATATTTCTTCCGAATCTTCTGCAATACCCTCTTCAGACAAATTAGAAAGGACGCCAAATATGCCAGGAAACTGCAATCTAAACAATTCCATTATACTATATAATATCTTTCATCAGTGTTCCTTTTTCATTTCGATATAGAGAACCACTTGTTTCTTTCCGGGTTGCAAATGAATGGTCTCAACTTTCAAGCACATAGTCAAGCCCATGTACCAACAACCATAAGTGAGTTTTTGAATCTCTCTCTCTCTCTCTCTCTCCACCCAACAATATTAATTCTGAAGCTGCCTTTGTGTGTCTGCGAGTGATGAGTATTCTATTTTATGGTTGATTGCTTCCTATGTTCCATGAAAGCGATTAAATGGGGATTGAGTACCGGGAGTGATCTCAGTTATTTATTCCCCAAATCTAAGCCTCTCTTGGTTTATATTTAGAAAAAGACTATTATATCATGTATTAATTAACATGACATGGTCATACGAAAAAATCTTAACTATATAAAGATGAATAAATAGTGATAAGAGAAGAGAGAAAAAAATATAATGATAAGAAGTTACAAAATTATTACTATTAATTTAATTATTGATTATATATTAAGATCTTCTCATATGATATATATGATATAATCATGTTAATTAATATACAAGAGATCTATTTCCATTCCTAATTTCAGATAGTGTCAACCTTGTCAGAGCCTGTTAAAATCTTATTAAAGTCCTGGGTCGTTTGGTACCTGAATAATATTAATATATTACACATTGCAACACCGAAGTTTCGTACACCATGCATTCTTTATACATAAATTTTATATATTCAAGTTTCTAATTAAATATTATTTGATTAATAAAGTAATAATTGCTTATCATTATTAAAGCTCGTATATTATTCAAGGATGTAAAATAAAAAATAAAAATTTTGACGTGAGAGAATCATTTTCCTTTTACTATTAATATGTTTTACATATATTTGGGCAACATCCTACAGATCTACTACCAAAATTTTTTGTAATATTCTTTTTTCTGGTTTGTTTTATCCTTTTTATTCTAGTTGTTATTAATTTGATACAATTTTCATAATTAGTTAAAGCTTGAAAGTAACAAACAGAAGTAAAATATTGTAGAACATGCTTGGTTGCATTCAGAACTGCCATCTTTCGAGCGAAATCTATATAAACGAATAAACGATACATAGCACATATATATTATGGGTTTAAAGTTTCTAAAGTTATTTTAAATAATTTTATCTGATGTTCATCAAAATATACACAAAAAGTGTATAGGATTCATCTTTTTTTTCTCTCTTTTCTTTTTACATTGATCCACATGGATCCCACACAAATTTTTGTGTGTATTTTTATGAACATTAGATAAAATTATCTAAAATAACTTTAGAAGCTTTAAACCTATATATTATTTGAAAGTTTTTTAAAAAAGTCTATTTATTATCAAGCTTACTAATTTATTTATTATTTAGATATATAATTCATAATTCATTATATTTATTAATTATAAATCGAACACTAAATTTTGTATTTAACCTTTAACAAAATTTAAGTTTTTTTAATCTATTTGAAGGCATTCTTATAATACAGGTATCTACATATATTTTTAGGTTAAGTAAAACATTTATATTTTAACCAAAACGCCAATGGATCGTATTTAACATTTTAAAACAAATATAGACTTATTTAAGGAAAACTTAACCTAAATTAATCGATTTATAGTATCTACATGTTTGGTGACGCAAACAGAAAAGTAACACTTACTAATATATATGTACTTTTAAAGGAAATAAATATTTTGTGCTGTGTCAAAGGTTCGACGATACCAAATCACTAGGTTTGGTTGAATGGTGAGACTGAGGGGTTTAAGTAGGTTGTATTAGGTTATGTATTGAATATCTACTTGTGGTAGACGATACCAATTAAGAATCTAAATTCTAAAGCAAACAAACTACAGGTCAGTTGGTACACATTTAATTAAAATGGAGTAAGAAATTAAGGATGAATGTAAGAAGTCAAAATGAAATTTTTTTTTTTTTTTTTGAGGTTACAAGGAATTGAACGCAACACCCTACACTACACACACTCCTAACACACACCCCACACCACTAGGCTAACCCTAGTGGTGCTCAAAATGAAATTTCTTTGGCAAGGCCAATCATGCACTGCATGAGTGCTCTATTTATGTTGGATTCAAAATTGTCAGGGGAAGTTGTACATATACATGCAGATGCATTTTGCACGGCTACTTACAGAGCTTGGTTTTGGTTTCCTGGACGACTCTGCTTGCGGAAGTTTCACACATTTATTGCATGTCATCTAGTGAATGATAATGACCTGTTTCCTGTTTTCCCTTCCATTTCTTGTTTCATCTTCTTTTATGACCTTCTGCCTCTGAATTTTCCATCTGGGTCTCTTCACTTTTTTCCTCATCCTGGAAGGTCTCTGTGTCATCATCAATGGGACCTTCTTTTGTGGCTTCCCCTCTCTGCACATGGCTAGTGGCTGCATGCATGTCTGTAACGTACGACAAACATCGCTCTAAAAGGTTCCCCATGCATCAGCATCAGTCTCCAAAGAGGCTTAGTCAATGGGCAACTAGGCCAAAGAAGTTCTTGTCCAAATGCATTAATGGTGGACGACCTTCTGATTGTACAAGTATAATGCTTTCACCTTTCTGTGGATATGGTATTCAAAATTTGATTTCATGTCTTGCACTTGAACCGTACAAGGAATGTTATAATTCAATGGGGCTATCTTCCTACTTGTCCTCCTTTGTCAACAATGCCTCTTCCCTCTTTGGCTCAAAAGCGGCCTCATCTGGAAGGATTTATTCAACAAGTCTAGCTTCCAATTCAGGTATATATCACAACACTTTAGTTGGGCTTATTTTGATTCTTGGCAAATTGGCAAACTTGTTTCCTTATGCATGGTTGCATGCATAAAGGAAAATAAGGCCTCTAAATTCTATATGTTCCAAAGTCCAATCTTTGGAATGTATCAGTTGGCTCAACTATTCAAATCCTTTGCATGAGATCTTCCACCATTAGGGAAAGGAGAGTGTTACCTCTCACTGTCTAATAGCCCATACTTTTAGACCCCAAAATAGAAAAAAGATAATTTCAATCTTTAAATTGTAGCTGCAAGCTTTATTCTCTTACATATCTAAGTGTCTTAGAAGTTCAAAATATCTTCTTAAATGCGTAGAGATTACCTTCTAATTTTAGGCAAAACTATGGCGGTGACGATGAATCCTTCAGAGAAAGTCACCAGAAAGAAGAAACCACTCATAGAGCGAAGGGTTGTTGTAACAGGGTTAGGAGTAGTAACCCCAGTTGGTCACGATCCAGATTTCTTCTATAATAATCTCCTCAGTGGCATCAGTGGTATTAGTGAAATAGAGGGCTTCGACTGCACACAGTTTCCAACGGTACATACTGCATTGGCTCTCATTCATTGTAGTAACTGATAACAACATCAAATTGAGTGTAGTATTCTTTCAATCAGAGAATTGCTGGAGAAATCAAGTCCTTCTCAGCAGATGGATGGGTCTCATCTAAGCTTATTAAAAGAGCGGACAAATTCATGCTTTACATGCTCACTGCTGGTAAGAAAGCATTGACAGATGGCGGAATCACAGAGGAAGTTGCTGCAAAGTTAGACAAAAGTAGATGCGGAGTTATAATTGGCTCAGCACTAGGAGGCATGCAGGTGATTCTCTCAAATTTCTTTTCTTTTCTTTTCTTTGACAGCAAGCAACAATTTTGTTATTTTCTTTTAAATTCAGTCCTTGTTGTTTTTGTATTTACTTTGATGTATTAAGCATGAATATCCATTCTAATCAATTTCAATGCTCCTCCATCTTTTACATTTCTGTAATATATTTCTGTCAGGTGTTTAGTGATGCTATAGAAGCACTGAGGGTTTCGTACAAAAAGATGAACCCTTTTTGTGTACCTTTTGCTACAACTAATATAGGTTCTGCTCTCCTAGCGATGGATCTGGTCAGTTTATGTAAAAACAAGATTGTGGCCACACACGGATTATACTTGAGAATGTAGGTTTATTTGCATCCGAAATTGCAGGGATGGATGGGCCCCAACTACTCGATCTCGACAGCTTGTGCTACAAGTAACTTTTGCATACTGAGTGCAGCAAATCATATCACTAGAGGTGAAACTGTAAGTTCTTTGTTTAGCATCAGCATTTATCATATAATACTTGCATTTTAACTAGAGCTTTACACATTCGAATGTCAAACACAGAAATGAAAGCAAATAACCCTTGTTAATCATATGGAATTCAGGACATGATGCTCTGTGGAGGTTCTGATGCAGCAGTTATCCCAGTTGGTACATAATATGCTTCTTTGATTGTAGATGTGCTTTGACTAGTACAATTTCATCATTAATCAACTTAACATATTTCACTTTAAAACTGGATTTGCAGGCTTGGGAGGTTTTGTGGCTGTCAAAGCTCTTTCCCAACGGAATAATGAACCAACCAAGGCTTCACGTCCATGGGATTGTGTATAGCATTCACCTTTCCATCTCTCTCTTTTTTCCTCCTTCCCTTATCTTTCACAGTTGTGTCACTTGATTGCCTATAAATGTAAAATCATATTGCTAGCAATACGTCTAAGTTCAATAATGAATACAAATGTTATAACTTCTCTCTGAAAATCCATTTTATAAATTGCTTTACTTCCTCTTTTATGTATATAACTTTTCCTACTATTTTTTTTATTGATATTGCTGATTTTAGGTCCTCAAAAAATGTGTCTATCCGAACTAAATTGATTAAAAGGAATGAATTTTGTTACATGACAATTCTAAAACTTCACATGCTCACATACTTACCGACATGCTAAGTAGTATTTTAGCCTACATCTTACCTAGAGAAGAACATTCAATTTGAGCAGAATCGTGATGGATTTGTTTTGGGAGAAGGAGCTGGAGTTCTCCTTTTGGAAGAACTTGAACATGCTAAGGTATCCTGACTTGGATTTTTCAATTTTTCACAAAATCTACAATTTGGGAATGATACTGTTACTAATTTCATCTCTCATTAATATCCTAGGAAAGAGGAGCAACAATATATGCAGAGTTTCTGGGTGGAAGCTTCACCTGTGATGCATATCACATGACTGAGCCTCATCCTGACGGTAAGTATGTAGTTATATGAAAAGCATAGTCGGGATTTAGTTATTCTTACCTCCAATCACCCCCTATAAACCATATTTTTAAATTTTAAGAGGAGTTATTCCAGATGACATACCTAACACAATATCTTATCATTTAAATAAACCACAAGGGTGAGGTAATAAAAATATGTTATATGTGTGGCACTCACATTTGCAGAACTGTAATAATAATAAGAAAAAAAGTGAGTACAAGGGCTAGTTTATCGGTGTGTGTATATTCTGGTACAGGAATTGTTCTTTGCATAGAGAAGGCCTTAGCGCAGTCAGAGGTTGCCAGAAGAGATGTTAATTATATAAATGCGCACGCTGCATCTACTCTGACAGGTGATCTAAAAGAATATGAAGCTGTGATCCGTTGTTTTGGAAAGAACCCAGAGGTAAAATCAAGGATTCAACTCGTACTCAAATAATTAATATATTAGTGTATTTCTTAACTCTATTAAATTTTATGTCGTCTGCAGCTTAGGATAAACTCAACAAAATCCATGATTGGTCATTTACTAGGGGCCTCAGGAGCTGTGGAAGCAGTTGCAACAGTTATGGTAATTAGCTTCTCATTCTCTATATACATTGGTTATGTCTGAAACTTCGAATAGTTCGAATGTTCGATACTGTCGATAACTTTTAATTCAGATAGGGCTAAATGACTATTATTACCTTTTTATGAAAAAAATCTGTTAAGAGTGGTTAGATCCTTTTTAACTTGTGTGTAGTTAAAAGTGTTTTCCTTCTGAAACTCTAGGCAGTAAAGACGGGATGGATCCATCCAAATATCAACCTGGAGAACCCAGATAAGAACGTGGTATGTTTCACAGATTCTTCAATATACTAACCAGAATAAATGCTTATGTCTTTCCCTCTCACAAGCCGATAAGTTAGTTGTAACTGTTGGATTGACTGTATTTGAGGTAGGACTCGAGTTTCATTGTGGGCTCGCAGAAGGAACGTTTGGACATCAAGGTGGCTCTTTCAAACTCATTCGGTTTTGGTGGACACAACTCGTCTATTTTGTTTGCACCTTACATTGCAGATGAATCTGAATCTGGCGTGTGAAGACAAATACGAGGTTCGGACAACGTTAATAAAATGAGGCTGAACATTTAGAAGCCTAGTCTAATGATACAGGAACTTCCTCAAGCTCTTTCATTTATTCTGTTAGAACAAGACATTGTGACATCTGAACCAAATAAATAATATCAACCTCTAGTCAAACGATTGCTCAAAGTTATTATAATACGATCATTAATAGCTAAAACAAATCATGTATGAAGGGTATTTCTTTTCTTAAAATTCTCGAGAGGTTTGACAACACATGCAATTAGAACTTCTAATTCGTCTACACGCTAACGATAAACGCATCCCAACTTCATGGTTATATCAAAATTTAATAAAGCTCCAATTATTCCTTACGGCTTAGGTAAATAGTGGTCAACGGAAACTCCCCACTCAGCAACTCCAAAAACCTTTCTAGCAGACAATGAAGTTTCCATTCAAATATAATTACGTAGAGAACTAATAATTACGTAGTTATTTTAAATGCAACACTTCTCCTTAAAAAGGCTAGATAATGGGACTCAACAGTTCTTGGCCATTCTATTACTCGTGACAAGTAAAGATGAAATTAACAAAAAGTCATATAAAATGTAATTCTAATTCAGCTGAAACTCAAATTGAAAAAAATAAAATCAAAGGGTTATACAATTGACTCATTATCAGTAAGGCAATAGTTCTGAGTAATAAACATTTTTAAAAGAAATGCCTACATGCGTCCCCAAGGACTTAAGTTTTCTATACTTGCCTTCTTAGACTCTTAGTCTTAAGGTAAAAGGTCTCAGCTCCAGAAAGCCTGATAGGGCCATGCTCAAATGTAACAGAGGATAGTCTTTTTTAAACCAAAGTTGTCCACAAAAAGTAGACATCGTCCAAAACGTATACGGGTCCAACCTATCTGTCCAAGTCTCGATAGTCTTGGGACAAAAGAAAGTAGTCAAAGCAGCACAAGCCAATATAAAAATGTCATATACTATGCTCGATCACCAAAGCTTGTTTTTGACCCAGAAAAGTAAGAAAACAACTCCCAAAACAATAGCAACAGGTGCCCACTTCCGAATCAGAGCCTACAATAAAGATTCCGTTTTGAATTATACATCCAAGATGTTTATAATAAATAAAATCAAAACATGGGCTAGAAGCTTGAAAGGGACACGATGCTTCTTAACGCTTGCCAGGGTTAAATCAGATCCATACAAAACCTGTTGATACTTGGAAATCATGATACAGGATTTTGTCTACAATAATCAAATTGGCATAATAAAGAATTACTTAACCGAGGTAATAGCAATAAGAAATATCCCTAACATGGATAAAGAAACCTCAGAACCATTTATCAACTTTAGTTATTTATTTTGATTAAAAAAAAATCCCAGTTGCCTAGACTATTTCAAATAGCTAAAAATAAAAAGTAAACCCTGATAATGATATTCAGATAAAGCAAATGCAAAATTGCACAATTTATGCTAGCTTTCAGGATAATCTGCATGTTGCATGATTCTATATAAATTAAAAAACAAGTCTTGTTTACCGGAAAAAAAAAAAAAAAAAAACGCAAGTCTTACCACAAAACTATTTACAACTACAGCTGGATAGTTTCCAAGTGAACAAAAGTCAAAACTGAATTAAGCAATGTACATCAGCAACCAAGGAAGAACATATCGCCAAAATCATTAGAAGTCATATACATGATGTACTTAAACTGAAAAGGACTAACCTGTTGATTTAAATCTTTAGCCTTATCAGCATATATGCGAGATTCTGATGATAAGCGGCTGGACATTTGGCTGACCTCTGCACGTTAGAATTTGAAATCAAATGTAGAAAATAAACTTTGTAGTTCACAAGGAAGTATAAACAGCAAATATACCAAGACACAAACAAAAAGTGTGGGAAATAAGAGTGTGAAATTATCACGATAATGAAGGTGGAACTCTGAAAATTCTGAAAAAAGTTTCTGAGAAAAATCTTGAAACAGAAACTCATCCAGTTTTATAACTAGAAATGGGAGATCATAAGCTAATAAGCATTTGAATACAATGCTAGCAAGATAAAACCAACATGCATTGATTGCTTTGGGAGTGTGTGACTACAGCAGCCTTTCCCAAATTATTGGAAGGGCAAAGGCACCTCTTGCTTTTAATTGAGCATGGTAGTTATCCCTAAACCAAAGATCATAACTGAAACTTGTAAGAAATAAGAGAAAAACTAATGTATATTACCTGAATGATCCCTCTACCCTTACTTTCCCTAATTAATTAACTAATCCACTCTGTCTAACTACTTTGTCTTCCCTTTATTCTTCCAAGTAAAATACCTCCGAATCAACTAGGAACTTAGGTCCCACTGGATGAGCCACTAATGCTTTCTTCAGCTGGGTTACTTGAAATTGAAGCTGGAAGGCAATTGTACCCATCTGCTCGAGGATCAAATCTGGCCCATTTCCCGTTTTAGCATTGTAGTGCTTTTCCCCTATAAACTTGGGCACTAAGTTCAAAAATGAGCTTGTTGGCAGAATTTCCAATTTCATCCTTCTGCATGGATCCAATTCATAAGACCGATTTGGGCCTAGCCAATTAAGTAAAAAATTCGACCCACTTTGCAGAATTTCAATTCTTCCCCTCCCTTTTTCTCCTTCTCCAGAACCAAATTGTTTATTCTAGCAGGACATACCTTGCTGCTGCATATCAATGGCGGCTTAGTTGGGGATGGGGACATAGGTAGACTTTGTATAACCCTGATCTCCATGGCTGCGGCCACATACTCCTTTTGCCTTTGCTCCATCGCGATGCTATTAGTCATACATGCATCCAAGTTCAACGATAGAGACTTGGCTAGCAAGTTCAAACTCCAAGGCTAGGTCTAGTGGTTTCCATGGTGATTGTCATGTAACCAACTCTCCTAAAGTTTAACCTATTAGGTAAACACATGGGGCAGCAAGGATCGAACACTAGACCACTTGTTCGATCCTTAAGCGGCAATGATCGAACACTAGACCACTTGGTCAGACCCTCTGGATCAAGCAACCAATTATCCCAAAAGCTTAAGTGGTTAGGTGAAGGCAAACAAATGGTTTATATTATATCTAACCATGGTGAAGCTATCTCTAATCCTCCTCTAAACATGTTTTATAATTTTCTATTGCATTGTAGATTGCAACGAAGCTATCTCCCGAGAGGGTCGCACCTTCACTCTTTCTTCCCCACAATCGATTCTCTGCTTCTTCATCGAAGGATGCAACATCTGGTTAAGCTCATAAAAACTCGAATCCCACAAACAAGGCTATAATACCTGATCACTGGTCACCTTCAAGAGCACAACTGAATTTTTCATTTCTTCCCCAACAAAAGATCCAACAAGTCGGACCAAAATTGTTAGGAACCCATGATGGAAAAAGAGAAAAGAAAATAATGATTTTAATATTTTATTGCTTGACTGAAAATGAACATAACAAGAAGAAAGATCTTTCCTCCAAGGATTTCCTTTTTCACAACTAACCACTTGCTCGGTTCTCTGAAAGTACAATTTCCCAAATGATCCCAGTACCTTTACTTACTTTATTACTAATCCCCTCTAACTACCTAACTATTCTAATTGTCTAAAGTAACTATTTTGTCTTCCCTTTATTCTTCTGAACAAATACTCTTTGTCCTAAACAATCACCCCAACACAGAAAAAACATTTAAAAAATAGGGGAAAAAGGACTATCATTAATCATTCAGCTAAAAGACCCATGTTTCTATTTTCTTCTCTTTTTTATGGATAATAATTAACTGAATTTTATTAAAAAGATGGCAATAGGGCGAGCACAACTGCAGGGGAAGTTAAATTAGTAGAAGGCTAGAATTTCATATTCTATTCAAATTAAGGAGGCTTGTAGCTATAAATTTGGATGTTGCAGCCCAACCAATCAGCAGAGATAAAGTTACAACTACAACTATTCAGAAAATAGAAGGAATATCTTACGGTCCAACTGTTCACCAACACCAAGAACTTCCTGCACATTTCGAGTCATTATCTGGTGGACTTCATAGAGTTCATCATTCAACTTTGCAATATTGCGCTGCGTATGGGTATCCTGGTAAAGTTTTTTTGTTTTTTGTATAAATGTATCTTTTCAAAATTTTAAAGAAAAAAAAGAAAGAAAGGGAGAATAAACACCAGAGGAAAAAGATAATAATACTATGAGTAGTATATGATAGAAAATGATGCAAAAATAAAGGAAAAGTATTAAAATGATATCTACCAAACTTAATGAAGGCATAGGGTCTGGCAGCAGTTTCAATTTGAGACCCATTGACTCGCTCAAACTCAGTCCTGAGCTCTTCAAGATATTGAAAGGCTAGTTTCTTAGGGTATGCACGATCACACATTGTCAGGTAACAGACACGTCCTTCAGTAATATAACTAAAGTTCTGTCAAGGCTACTCTAGGTTATGAAAACTTATCCTAATAAAGTTAATGCAAACAAATATATATATATATATATATATATATATATATATATATATATGGTAGTCTTGTAGACAAGGAAGTAATGTTGTGGAGCATCATAACCAGTATCCCATTTTGCACATGCATAACATATATAAAAGCACATCCTGAATTGTGATTCTAGAACAAAAGGAGATACTAATCTATCCTAAAAAAGAAAACAGACAGTAGCCTCTTCTAATGTCCCAAAACAAAAGATTTGCAGCTATAAGGGGAAAAAAAAAAAAAAGTGAACAAATAGAAATAATGATCAGGAAAGCATCCCAATCCTCTGGACAGGACAGGAGGCCTAGTAATTACACTAAGATAACAGCATATTATAGAACAGAAAACTATGTACACTTCCATATTCTCATAGATGAACTTCTTGTGTGCATGATGTTATTATCAATTCTCATACAATTCTTGTGGCTCGGGATTTACTATTATGTTCAGATACTACATGTATATTACAATATGAGAGTGGAACAAGCAAGATAACCAAACAATTTGTATACTACCACCACTAAACAATTATGGAATACAAAAGCACAAGGATACTGGAAAACATAAGGGCCAGTTTCAACTGACATCCTCGATGCGTCATTCTGTCCTCTTGAAAGACTTTTAAACAATGCCTTAACTTGCTGTTTGTAAAACTCAGCATCTTTAAGATCACGGCCATCATCAAGTCCCTCAGCTAGTGGAAGACCATCAGTGACACGAGCAATCATAGTCAATTTCACCATTATTTTTTAGTTTATAAACTCCCTATTTCAGTTTAGAACTTCGCAAACAAACCAAAATGCCCTGCAAGACCAGTCCAAAGACAGTGACAAAACCAAACTTGGTCAGAATCTGGACACCAAGTATAATTAAAAGCATGATATAAAAACATGCATTTCCTTTTTTTCTTTTGATCAATAATTAGACAAGGATACAAATATACTTAACGGGAAAAGAATCACGATCTCTTGTACCTACCAACACCTAAGAGGTTATAACTTATAAGCATTGAGGGTGGTAGCAGCTACTCAAATAATGATACCACTTGTTTGCACCAAAATCTCTCCCTTATTTTTCTCAACTAATTACACCTCTTGTTTTTCTTTCAACAGTTGATTTAAATACAATCAACGGTAGTAAGGGTAGGAAGATAAATAGGTAGGTAATATAACCATTCCCAGAAACATAGGAAAAGAATCACGATCTCATGTACCTACCAGCACCAAAGGGTGGTGGCAGCTACTCAAATAATGATAGTACTTATTTCCACCAAATTAGATTAGAGAAGTCATTATGGGCAATGAAACAAGGTCAAGGTTAAATAACCGATGCTCTGCAAATCCCAGAATTTAATTTTTCATCTAAGTCTATTAATGAGGCAGAATGAGAAGGAGAAGGGAACGAAGTGAAGAAAAAAAAATCCGAAATGAGCCAACAACTATTGGCTCAAGTGATAAGCCAGATGTTTTGAGTTAAAGCATGTGAATGAAGAAAATGGTTTTGGGATAATCACCCATATATATATATATATATATATATATATATATATATATATATATATATATAGGTCAAGCCGAATCAGTCTGATAAAGGATGAAGAGCTGAAGAAGAAAAAAAACCGTAATGATATGGTTGCCAAATTTGATTAAACAAATGTTTCATATGCTAAACTATACTAAACTAAACAAAACATATAATTCCAAATAAAAAAGAAGTTTTATGTTTGCATTCCTTTAGATGATAACAGTGAACTGCAATATCCCTAATCCAGCAACGCATATTGTAAGATTCAGATTCAGATTCAGATTCAGTAATAAGTAACTACCTTATGCCTCCTCATACTCATACTCATACTCATACTCATGCATTTGGGTTGGGCCAATCTGACGGAATCACCAATTTCAGAATACGTTAGTCGGAAAATCTTGCAGATGAAGCAGTTACCTAAACAATGACGGCAACAGACCGTGGTGGAAGCGGAATAAAGACCAAGCCTTTTTTAGAGCAAAAGAACAAGTTAACTACACCGTTTTGCTTTTGTTTTATGTTTTAGTTGCATTAGTTTGAAAAGAATTTATTTTGAAAGAACTTATGTTAAAAAATTTACTCATGATTAAAAATAATATTTTAAATCTAATTCTTTTAAAATATAATTTTATTTTGGGAAAAAATTATTAAAAATACATTAAAATTAATATAATTTGAATTTTAAATTGATACGTATTATGCCTTTTGGTAAAATTAAAATGATAAATATTATATGCTGAAAGATACTGATTGGCGCAGTTAATAAAATGGTAATCAAATTCAGACTTCAGTCTTTTCCATCCACACATCTAATGTATTTAACTATTTAAGGTATAAACTTAAAAATTCAGTTTTAGAATTTTATTTTTTTGAAGAACGTTATTATATATGTATTTTAATTATATAAAAAAATTAACTAAACATGTTAAAAAAAGTGACTCGGAAGAAATATTTCTCTTCAAAAAAATAGAAAGATTTTCGTTTACCAAAAAAAAAATAAAATTCAATTCTGAACCGCACATGGGAATTTGAGTGTTATTGCTTAAACAATTTTACCCAGAATGATTTAAATTTAATTTGTATATATTGATTTTATACATTTCATTAAAGGGTTTATCATCTATCATTTAACATGATCACAAAAATTTTTCTACACACACAACATTTTGTGGGACCCCAGCAAAAAAAAAAAAAAAACTTCGGCATGTAAAACGAATCTCTATAATATAATAATACAATCACTTTTCCTACCACATAACTCTTATAAAAATCCTTCATTAAATCCTGTAATACTACCGTACAAAATAAATGTAAACCGTTGGGTCCATCTAACCGTTCATTTCTTTGTTCAAATCTTTCTCTTTTTTCAATATTTAATTAACAGTTTTAACCATTTATTATAAAATTAATGGCGAATAATTGTGGACAACTGGTTTCGGTACCCATACAAGTCTCCCTTACCATCTCCTTAAACACACACAGCACCGAAAATAATGATGGCTTCTGTTTGACTGTTTGACTCCACATAGGATTCACTGTATAGAGTAGAGTGTCTTCGATGAAGTTGTACCACTGGGATTGCTCAGAACTTTTAGAGAAAAGGCTATATAATTCAAGACTTACATGATTTGGTGGAAAAGTTACAAATTTTAAATAAAAATCAAAGATATTTATATCATATGATACACCTTTTTTATTATTGGAACAGAACATTCACTTAACTCCAAGAAGCTTGTTTTACTGATTGTTTATATAATGGGAATCATCCGTTCATAATTTTTATTTTTTACAAATTACACTGAAACACTCTTGATTAAAGTATGACCGATCCCCTCGATAATATATATATATATATATATATAGTCTAATTAACCTAATAACCTCAGCAACTCACGTATATATATATATAGGTGTCATATTTCATATGTCATTCCAACCTTGAGAAGTCTATTACGGGGGATTGCCATCAAATTGTCCCCTTGGCGAAAGTTCTTTCTCAGGAAGCTATAAGCATAGTTGACAACTATCTTATTCAAGATGGATGAATTTGGCTGAGCTACTACCTCTGCTTCCGCCAGCATATACACCACACCCTTCTCCTTTGCTTTCTCTATAAATTTAATCTCCTCTTCAGCTCCCTGAATGGGAGGGGCAGTGAAACTGGATGACTTCACACCAATTGATTGAATAGAATCTGATGAGGTCGTCCCACCTTGATTTGGTATTATTCTTACACAAGAACAAGAACTAGTAGTAGACCTACCTTGTGGGATGTCTGCCATCTCACTCTCATTAATAATGTTAGAGACAGGTACTTGTAATTCAGTTGTTGTTGTTGTTGTTCCCTCAACCTCCAGCTGCATAAAGCTTTCTTGTTGAATAAATCTCTTCAGATTTTGTATTAACTCTGACTCAAACTCGGCAAGATCCTCAAGTACATCATTGTAACCATGCCTCACGACACAACGAAACATTCGATACTCTCTTGGTTCCACATGCCGAAACAAAAACCTCTCTTCTGATGCAACTCTACTAACAGGAATAGCCTTGATGGAAACAAACACAACAACTGAATGGACAGATGGTACGCTGGCTATTAAGTGTTGGAATATAGGAGGAATGCCTTGTACGAGCTCAGAATACAGAAGTCCCATTCCGGGCACTCGGTTCACGTCTTCTTTGTTCACCAGTTCCCTCAAATACTCACTAGAAACCTTGTTCTTTAGTTCAAACATGTATCTTGCTCTGTGCACATAATGCCATATTCCCATTACTGCCGTCAAGAAAAGAGCTAATGCAATTGGAAGATAGCCTCCTCCTGTGAACTTGGTTAGTTGAGACGTGAAATAAAGAAGCTCCGTGCAACCGAATACCAAAAAGAACGTAGCCACCCGCCATAGGCTCTTCTTCCATATAACAAGCATTATGAGGGAAACCAGGGATGTTGAGATCATCATATCACCAAGAACTGCAATTCCTGCATGCGTTCAAAATAGCACTTGCCCACTTGTCATGCTTTGCTAATTAATTATAATACTACAAAAAGCTTAATTAGAATTTTGAATACACATGGCAGAGAAATTAAGGATTTTTATAATTAGCATTTTATTACCATATGCGTGACTAATCTTTTCTGTGGTCTTGAAGGCAGCACAGACGACAATACACGCAATCATGAACATGTAGTTGACCTCAGGAATATACACCTGACCCCGGTGCTTAGTGGAAGTATGCACGACCTTAACTCTTGGGAAACAACCTAGACTTAGAGCCTGGGATATAATGGAAAATGCTCCTGATATCATTGCCTGGCTGGCTATGATGGCAGCACCAACAGCCACAACAAATGTTGGCCAATATAAGGAGTCTGCATGTTATACACAATAAAGTAAAAAACAAAAGTGATCAATTTATTAACTAAACTAAAATTTACTAATTAATGCTAATTTGAACTTCCATGATTGCTCTTTAAAATTAATCAACTTACGCGGTATACTTGCATAGAAAGCGTTATCCACTTTCTCGGGGAACTTTCGTAGAAATGCTGCTTGCCCACAATATTGAGCCAATATTGCTGGACATGTAACGAAAGAAAAGCTAATCTGCAACAGGTAATGTATGATGTTGATCAATTTAATTGCAACTAAAATAATTAATTGGCGGTTCCATATATAGCTTTTCAATTTCTATACGGGAATTGGCCACAAGTTTTGCAGAGAACACAATGATATGGGTCCGCATAAGAAACAAACAATAATATTGTGCAAGCAATGTAATGTAAAATAAATTGATGTTCGACAAATTAACTCTTTTAGCATATATATGCCTTGAACTAGAAGTATTGCGTAGTAGAAGCATAAAATTATTTACTTACTTGAATGGCTCGGACATTAAAGTGACCCAAGTCGGCAAACATGGCCTCAGATCCTAAGATTATATGTTTCTTAATTAGAATTAAAGAATGATACAACTAAATTAACAAGATTAAAAGAGGAGATGCTGCTCACCTGTTATGCATAGAAAGACTCCACCAAGTGATAACCATCCTTGCTTACCGTTCCGTTTGAAGTAGTCAAATATATATTTTGGATAGAAAGCTCGTAATACCCCAATGTCATATTTGAATAAATTGTATAGACCAATTCCACCGATGAATGAAAACCACACTAGAATGATTGGAGCAAATGAGACTCCCACTTTGTCAGTCCCGAATTGTTGCACGGAAAATAGGATGATCAAGATCACTATAGTGATCCCCACTACAGCATCTGAAGAAAAGGACAAAAAAGAGCACGCCCCGCCCCCACACACATTAAAAATGATACATTTAGACACATATTATAACAATTTTTATCACTCTTAAATTAAAAAAATAAAATAAACATTAATTTTACGTACTTTGACCTAGTGATGTACTGATCCCGCTTACCGCAGAAAGAACTGCAAATGCATTGAACAGTATAATTATGTCAAGCCACCATCCAAATCCACGAGTTATATAATCAATAATATTATTACAAATTATTTTTAGTAAGAGTGTAAATAGGTTAGGCTGTTCTACAGGACCCTTCAACCTTATCTATATTAGGTCAGGCTTGGCCTATTATAAATAATCAAATAAAACAGACCAAGATTTTTAAAAAAATCTATTTAAAAAATAAAGCATAAATTTTTTTTTGTACACCTATAAGCCTATATGTCGGTTTATATCATATTATTTATATTAAATAAAATAATTATTTTAATAATTTTGAATAATAAAATAATATTATTTTAGTTATTTTTTATTATTATATATTTAATAGGCTTAAACATGCTAATAGGCCTAGGCCAAAGCTTTTATTTTTTAAATACAGGTCAGACCAAACTTGTAATTTGATCCTACACGGCCTAAAAGGACAAACCTAACATATTTAAGTCAAAACCTAGTCTAACCTAATTTATTTACACCTCTAATTTTTGCTTTACCTCATTTTCTTATGTCATTTTTTTTCACGCAGATTAAGAATTCATTTGTTTCAGTTTAAAAAAAGACATTTTTATGATATAAATATTTTTAGAAATTTTTTTCAAAAATTATTTTTAGCTTCTAAAAAGTATGGAATTTTTTTTTTAATTTTTTTACCTTTTTTAAAAAGTATGAATCAAAAACCGTAAATGGGAAAAAGAGACACACGTACATGATACATATATAACCAGTGAAAACACAATAAAAAAATAGAACAAAGTGAAACTATCAAGAAATTAACCTGAAATTGATGGGGTAAGAATCCCATCTCCTATGACCATGGCAGTTCCCATTATGGCAAGAACTAAAAGGAGAATCCGCGCAAAGTGACTATTCTCGAGGATCTGCTTTAGTTTCTGGGCTCGTTTCAGCTGGCTAGATGGTGTTTCGAGTTTGTAGTTAGAAAGTTCCCTGTCCTCTGGTTGTTGATTTGGAATCAAACTCACCTTTAGATGCCTACATATCAACGAATAGAGTGCAAACGCTCCACCTGGACGTACACAAAGTTATTATTATTATTATTATTATGCTGTAAAATTATACACCATACTAGAAGTAGAAATACATACTATTCATTTTAGTATTAAACATTAAAAGAGTAAAAAAAAAAAAGTAGTATAACCAAATATATATACGGGATTTATATTTTTTATGCAATATAAGAATTCTTATGTTATATTTATATTATTTTTGAATGCTAATGTTTTTAATTTTTTTATTTACTTTATTTTCAGTAAAATCCACCTGAATATATGTGTGCTGTAAACTTATGTTACATAAGAAGTATAAACCCATGTATATATATCACGAGAATTATATTGACAAAATGTATATATATAAACCCATGTATATATAATATAAAGGGTTTTATTAGTCTCAAAAGAAAAAAAAGAAAAAGGTGGGGTACAAAAATCGAAGTAAGAGAAAATGAGAGATGATATCTCATGTGCAAGGTGAGTAATATTTTCCTAATATAAATTATAAGAGTTTGTAAACAACAAATTTGGTAAATATAACCATTCTTATATATATATCGGAAAAATATTTCTACAGTCACTTTAGATAAGATTATTTACAGTTATCCTTATATATATATATATATATATATATATATATATATATATATATATATATAAGTGTTAATAGCTCTCTGGTCACTGCAGATGAGAAAATGTACAGCAACACTTATTTTCATCAGGATTCGGGCCCGTATCCTGATGTATTTTTTTTTTGGACTAAGATACGGCTCCGTAACCTAGTGTTAATAGTTTGCTGCAATTTTTCTCTTCAGCGACAGCAGAAGGACCCATATATATATATATATATATATATATATATATATATATATATATATATATATATATATATATATATATATACTAGATTGATAGACACACGGAAGTAAAGAGCTTTATTAAAATATAAAATATGGCAAAGTGGAAGTTATTATGAAACTGATATGGGGGAGGTGGTTCAATTATTAACTTTGACCGTTTATTCAAAAAACAACAACCTTGTTTTAATCATGCAGTGCCACTGTGCCAGTCAGTTCGCATTTTTTATTTTTTATAAAAGATAAAAACAAGTAAACGGTAGTTAAAGCAATTATAATTACACAACGAGAAACTAATTAAAAGTATTTGCCAATGAATGTTATTGAAAATTTAAAAAAAAAAAAAAATTCTACGAATTCATTATTTTTATATTTTATATGGTCCCATTCATTATTTTTATATTTTATATGGTCCTCTCTAGTCTAGCGCATGCATGAGAAAAGAATGATTTTTTGTTCAAAAAGCTATCTTTTTTAAATAAAGGGGTTCTTCATCACCTTGCTGGAATTTTAAATTTTGAAAAGTAGTATCACGATAGAGTTTATTGATCGTTGATCAATATGATTATACATATACTTAGCAATGATAAGTCTCAATAATTTTTGTTTTAAGGTTTTACAAACATAAAAAAAAGTAATTAAATATTTTCAAATAAAAAAATATACTTTAATAATGCTTTTGTTTATTTTACTCAATGAAAATATCAAAAGATAAAAATAAATTAAAACCCATAAAGCTATAATTATTTTAAAACAGAAACAAATAGGTAATTACAACATAACCATTAAAACAGAAACAAATAGGTAATTACAACATAACCACAATAACGCAAGTGATTAAGTAAGAGGGGGTCTTGCTCTAAAAAGAAGTTATCTTAATAAGGACAAATTTGACACTAAACTCAAAGCACGAGAATCAAACGGGATATTTTGCTTGTACAGCTGAAAACAGAATTAGATAGCTAGCACATGTAGCCAGGAAAAGCAATCAACTGAGTGTAGGGCAGTTGGCAGTAGTAGAGTAGGTAGCGATCTTAGTTCAATTCATATCAAATATATTGAGGTAAGAAATTTTAATCATAACTAAATTCTAATTCAAAATTATCTCATCATCGATTCAAAAAATTAAAATTTCAAAAAAATTAATGAAGCCGATTCACCTTAAAAAATAATTATGATCAATATATATAAAAAAAAATGGTTAATATCTAGAGCGTACCGTTGCCATTATCGTTTGCCCATAATACAATGAAGACATATTTAAGCATGGGTATGAGAACAATGGTATAGATGATGAGAGACAGGACGCCAAGAATGTCGTCGTTGTTCTTAATTGATTTGGGGAAAGTGCTGGCAAACACATAAAGTGGAGATGTACCAATATCACCATATACAATTCCTATGCTTTGAAATGCAAGGAACAGCGTCGTCCTCCAAGGCATCTGTATGTATGTATGTATATAAGTGAATCCAACATATATATACATATACATATAATTAATTATTGTTAAACATGCAGTTTAACAATTGGTAGATATTATTCAATTGGTATGGTTTACCGTTGTTTACCTTGGAGGGGTGGTCTGCAACCATAGAAATTCTTCCAGCTTCCAAATTTAGAGAGTCAACGCGGCGCAGCTTAGCCCATGATACCTTTCGCTCTTTCAGTTTCATCCCTTCCTCTATCCCCATCCCATGATCTCCTTCTCCAGACATGTCTTTACCAGTCACTCTCACTTTCTTTCTTATTAATTAAATAAATGGAGATTGCTTGTTTGTTTTTGCTGGAGATGTTCAACTTGAATTTTGCACTGGTTTTTATAGGCACACAAGTCGGATCTTGATACCCTCATTCATTTCTGTACGTATTATTCTATCATCAATAATTGTACTATTTTATTTTCAAGCCGCGCACCCTCAACAGGTCTATAGTTGACTTTTTTAAGTTCTTGTGAATACTTTTGTCAGTGTACTCATATTTTCAATAGCGGTTGCAAGTGTAAGATTTATTGATTCAATTATATCGGTTTTGCTGCGTCATTGATGTATAATTTACTTCGTCGAGACAAAGACCATGTACAGTAGTAGCATTAAAACTAAAAGCCCCGTGAAATCCACCGCTAAAGAAAAAAGAAGAAGAAAAAAACCGTGAATTATAAAAGGATATATCTATTTATATATAGTTGAGAAAATATGTTATAATTCTTTTTGAAGGTGTTAATTATTAAGGTTCATCTTGAGTCAGATAAATTATAAAGGTCGCCAGCATATCAATTTAATTAATATTATGATAAGAATATTGAAACAATTCATCCCAAAAGTTTGTTCGTAAGGTAAAAAAAATTTAAGTCTATATAAATTATATATTAGAGTATTATATTTCTGATATGGCCGGGGCTCCAAATCTCATATGAGTTTTTTTAATAGCTATGTGCGAATATTGCAATGTTATGTTACAATTACAAAATATAGTAAAAAGCCAATTGGTGCAAAATTTGAGAGAATCTTACACCAAAAATTAGCTTCAAAGGAAATTTCATATATATTTTACACTAAAATTTTTTGTTTTCTTTGTCAAACTTCAAATCTCATATTTTGCATTAGAATGATAACATATTACATGGTAGGTAAACATACCAATTTGCAATTTATTTAAGGGTGTATTGGATTAAGATTTTAAAGTATTTTAATGAATTATTTTTGGACAAAAAAATCCATTGGTATTCAACTAGGATTTTAAAGGATCGAAAGAAAGTCATGTGGTTTTTTATTAGGATTTTAAAATATTATTTTAGAGTCCTTCCAAATCCGTTGGTATTCAATCGAGATTTTAAATAAAGAAAAAATAATCTTGTGGTATTGAAAAATCTAACTATTTTAATGGATTTTCTATTAGTGTGGATTTCGTGAGATTTTTTAGTGAGAAATATAAATAGAATTCTTCTCTCACAATCTCACCCTAAACCGTAAGATTTCTTGAGATTTCTCTATTGCAGTGTCTTCTTCTTCTTTTGGCGGGTCGACTTGCTCGAAATCGGGTTCCACCATGGAAGCTTCATCAAAGCACAAAAACAGCAAATTTTTTAGCGATTATCATCACAAAACAACTCAGAAACAATAACCCAACAAGATTTTAATCTAATTCATTTCAAAAACAGCAGATTTTTGAGCAATTTTTAAGAGTTTTTGAAAGTTTAAAAAATAATTTTTCAAACTATTGATCGCAATTTTTCTTGGCAGAAAAATGTATACTTTTTGTATTAAAAATAACATAAAGACAATGGGAAAATAACAAAGGAACAAAAACTCCCAAATCATTTTTTATTTTAAATCACTGGAACAATATCGATTTAAAGAAATATTAAAACTTTTATAATATGAACCTTATGTTTAATAACAATACATTTATGAACGAAACTCTTCCGCTATAGGAAACGATTTCAAACAATTTGTGTCAATAGATCACTAAAAACTTATTTTTCAAAAGCCCCAAAGCAAATAAGGTTTCAATGTATCGATTGAAAATAATTTGAATTTTTTTCTAAATTTTCATGTAATAAAACTCATAAATTCATATTTAAAATTTTCTTGGAATACGCAATGAAAATATGCATATGATATATGGTTAAAAAACTCTCATCACGTAGAAAAAAACCCCAAGATTTACAAGATCAATTGCAAAAAAACTCTAAACGAAATTTTATCGTGAATTTTACTGACTGAAAATATTATATTAGGTTTTACTTTTTTTTTATTAATATCATTTCATTTTTTTGTTATTTTTCATTAACTCTTGTAATTTTGAATGTTTGTTAAAAATTCATATGATTTTTTAAAATTTTATAAATCCATATTGTCTTTTCAAATCTTATAAATTCTATTAAAATTATTTAAAATCTCATCTTATGAAATCTTAATTGCAAAAATATCTTTTAAAAAAGTATTTAAAATCTCTCCGATTGTAAATAATTTTTTAAAATTTATTAGATTTCTTGTCTTAAAAAAATCTTTTAAGATCATAATTCAATACATCCCTTAATCACTTTTGGAACGATATAAAGTTTTTCTAAAGCTACGTGACATGTTCAACTAATTAATTTTACTTTATTTTTTATAGATAGAGGTGTCATGACGTGCTTTATATATTTTTTTAAAAACTAGTTTCAACCTTGAGTGTCCCCACAATTTCACAAAGCCCAAAAACATTAAATGAATTATAAATACGTATGGCAAAAAAGGTAATTAGAAATGCGTATTTGAATTATTAATGATATCACTGCCCGCCTCGCCTGTTGTTGTCACCGCTTGGTCAACATTGTCAGCGAGTGAGGCCAAGAACCAACACACGCAGTCAGGGAATTTTTTAGATGCTCTAGATCTCATTTATTTCTTCTATTTAAAAAGTGACATTTAGAGAAAAAGTTATTTTTTATTTCTTTTCTCTATTTTCTTCTCAATATGTTTTTGATTGATTCAGACAAATAAGTAAATGGTGATACGAGACTATTGAAATTATTCTCCGGAGGCAAATTCTCCCACATTTCTTGGCGAATTTGATTAAGTGTAAAGAATCAATTTAACCGAAAAGCTTGAAGAGTGAACAATGCAATAGGTAGGTCCAGTCTACCTGTGCTAAAAAATTTCACAAGAAAAAATAGGGGGTGACGAGGTTTGAACCCGGAGCACGAGGCTCTGATACCATATAAACTTTTGGGTTGAATTAGTTCTTTACATTAAGGGACAAAAATTATCCAAAAATTACAATTTCAAATAATATGGTGAAAAATAAATTTTTTAATAATATTATTAAAATATTATTAGATAGATCAAAATATTACTGAAAATATTAGATTAATTTTTTTAATATTATATTTAATTAATTGTCAAACATTATTGGAAACAGGGGGTAATTTTATTAAAATAACTCACTTTTATCAGTTTACCCAAAGACCCTCCTTCTCCATTGACGGTCCAACTCCCTCCGCCACCATAACCATAAGCAATCGAGCAAGCAGAAAAATAAAGGAAGCAGGAACCAAAACAGAAATAATAACAAGAAAAAAACAAAGGGAAATTTTTTCTTTTTGAAGATATTTTTTTCCTTTTTCCCGACAAGGAAATTTTTTTCTCAAGATCACTTTTGCAACTTATATAATCCAGACGAAGAAAATCAGAACTACGGTATTTTTTTTTCTTGTTTCGTGTTCCTTTTTTCATTGGATAAACATGTGGATTCTAGACAAATAGGTCTGCTAAATTGAATCAGCATAAGATTGATGCGCGTCGCGCGCAATGGCTATCACAAGGTATGTGATGAGCATAATAACTTTTCTATTGACGTGTTTTATTGTTCCTTTCTTCTATTTCGATTGGTGGGTGTTGAGAAATTGTAATACCCCATATTTTTATTAATAATAATAATAATAATAATATAATAATAAATATTTTTGGATAATAATGATATTTAGTATTTTTGTAATTAATAATATTGGTATTTAATATTTTTAATTAATGAGTTAATAATAGTTAAAATAATAAGAGGTAATATAATAATAGTAATATTATTTGATTTATGTGATAATATATAATTATATATATATATATATTAGATGATAAATTATGATTAATTGATTTATTAATTGATTGATGATTTATGTATTTATGTTTGATTAATAATGATTGATTAATAATGATTGATTGAAAATGTTCGATTGGTAATGTTCGATTGGTAATGATTGATTGGTAATGTTGATTGGTAATTTGATTAGATATGATGAGTCAATAATGAGTCAGCATTGAGTCAGTAATGTATAAAGCCAAAATCTGAGCCAGATACATCAATAAAGAAAAAAGGAAATAAATGCACGAAACTCATATCCGAGCCCAAAACTTCAACTATAAATAGAGGTCTAGCCTAACCAAACCAATTCACTCTTCAACATTTCTCCTCTACTATTCTCTCTTCTTAGTTTTTTATTCTTCTGGTTACCAACCGGTTCTCTGTCCCAAATTACTCTTTTCTTCTAGAAGTTAGCGAAAACGGAGACCAGGTAATCCTAATCCCTAGAGATTATATTGATATGAATTTTGGTATATGTAATCCTATTCGTAGGTTATTCCTTTTATAAAACTTGGATGTAATCTTAATCCCTAGATGTTCTTAGTATTTCTGTATGAACATTTATATATATATATATAGGTATTTGTTTTTTTTTTAAATTTAAATTACTACATATGATAATTAGAATATGGATACAAGTTATTCCTTAGAATGAAAGAATTCCGAATAAGCTTTTTGAAGTACATGGGAATCGAACTGCAACACACACACCCACTAAACACTACACACCCCACCACCACTAGGCTAGCCCTAGTGGGTTGAATTCCGAATAAGCTTGCAATATATGATATAAACTTTTATTTTAGAAATTATGATTATGTGCATTATATGATATAAAATGTTATTATTTTAGAAATTATAATTATGTGCAATGTATGGTATAAGATTTAATTCAGGTGCAATATATGGATCTTATTGAATAATTATGAAAATTATGGAATTATAATACTCTTTAAGAAAAACTTTCCAAATATGTGTTTTAATGATTGAATTTGAATATTTATAACTATGATAATTGATGTGATGGGATTATTTGAATGACGATGATTGGATTTGAATTTT